AAAAAAATTAGACAAGTGAGGATGTATAATTAAAAAAAATGAGAACTTAGTTTTATAAAATACAGAAAATTAAATGAATTTAACGTTGATTGCATCACAACTGAAATGGGAGAATCCAGAAAACATAAGTGACTCCTTTTTTTTAGTAAGTCCCTTTTTATATTTGGTAACAATTCAAGTTTAGATTTTTCTTTTTACTATTATTGAGATGATTTCTAACCCAAAAACTTCTATGATTTATTTAAGATTACAAGTTTCAAAAGCTTTCCTTTATTTCATAAAATCTATGTCCAGTCAAACACTTTCATATAAATTGGGACGGAGAGAGTATAATTTATGTAAGAAAAATAAATAATAAGTTAGATTACTAGATATAGTTACGTGACCAACTAATGAATAGAGAAATATAATTAAGTTAAAAAGTAAAATAAGATTGACAGAAAATTATTTTAGTTATATTAATTAGAGGAAGAAATCGAATTATTAAAAATTAATATGACAATAAAGAAATAAATTTATCAATAATAAAAGATAATTATATAAATAATATACTACTATATATAAAGAATACTAGTAATTTTGGGGCCTTTAAATTTTTGGGGCCTAAAGCAAGTGTTGCCCCTGGATACTATTCTATTGGTTCATATTTAAGGCTAATTTTTCTTAGACTCGTGTCTGGCCTAAATATTTAACCCGCCCCATAAGACATTTATCTTCTTCTCAACAGCTCCAATGTCCAACTATTTCTCCTCCAAATCAACCCATCGTCTGTATCTCTTTGTTTTTCTCCCAACTCTTTCTCATTAAACCCATCAATCTCTTTTACCACAATCGACATGTTTATAACAAATCCTTTTATTCTTTTGTTTAGTTACTCCCTAGAACCCCAGAAGTTGATTAGTTATAGACTTAGTATATCAGTCATGGCTAAATTCTTGTTTTACATAACGCTTACAAATCAACGGATTAATCAAGCTTTCAAATACATTAACTTAGTTCCTAAATAGTAAACAAGTATATTAACAAATAAAAATTCGTCCTTTGATAGAACACCACACAAAGCTTAAAAAAAAAAAAGGAAACTTTAAGCCGAGAACTGATACTTGGAGCAGATCCAAGAAAAAAAAATTCTCAAAACTACAAGTTTTGTATACTTTAATTACACTACAAAACTTATTATTATACCCTCATAAAAATATATTTGAACAATATATTGCAAATGGGTTTAGAAAGTGAAGTCTCACTTGACAAATAAATCAACTAAACTGAAGATAAAGATGGACTTTGAATCAAGAATTCGAAAGATTGGCTATAGAGGGTTGAATCAGCATACTAATGACATGAAAAATTTTCGACACTTCCTTTAGTGACTTTGCCCTATTTTTCTTTTTAGTCTACAACTCATATATGGTGCCACCCTTGAAGCTTTAAATTAACCAAGAAAAACTAGTAGGACACTGTAAAAATCATAATTTTGGAATTCAAATATATTTACAAGTTCGGAAACTATGAAAAATCTGGCGAAATTTGTGTCAAGAAAATCCGCAATGAATCATTCTCCCTGCAAGGTATTTGTATAATTGTCTCAAAGGATGATGTCTTTCTTCTTGGCCTTGCCTGCGCATGGATTGTGGACAATCTGAGGCTGATGCGAAATTTGTGTTAATAATCAACAAGAGATATGATGGTTAAATCTATGGGATGGATTTAATAAAATTATCCTTAAATACGAACCAATAAAATAGTGCCACGTGTATTTTAAAAATCTCACCTGGTCAAAAAGTCGCAGTTAGTGTAAAGGGCATTTCTAAGACAAAAACTAACGTTAAGGACATTTATGGCCCAATAAGCAGAAGGAGGTCAAAATTAAGTCATTTTCAATACCTTAGAGACATTTTGACCCTTTTTCATATTTTTTAATATTGATCACGCTACTAATTTTAAGTAAGAATACACCGCTTGTGCCGCCTCGGCCCCTAGCCGTGCACCTAGACTCCGTTATAAGTTAAACACGTTCGTAATACGTTAAATATATTAAAATTCAATCTGCCGAAACAACTACTCCAATATTTAATACCAGTTCTAGTATATTTCTATCAAAAGTCCTTGTACATCAGAATTTTCAATGGCAAACTGGACATCTTGAGAATGTTTAAGTCTAAAAAGTGTTCTAATTTTATTTGCAATAAACTGTCACACAAAATAACTCAAAAAGAAATATAACTTTTTCTGAAGGAGGAGCCATTTATTTTACATAAAATTTTACTTAGAAGTTGCAAGATATGCGTATGCTCTAACCCAAGCAACTATTGTATTCCGTTGCAACTGTTCTAAAATTGGTTGTTTATGTTATTCCCGCCAATATTGCTGTATTTGTAAATAATAATTCTGCAAAATATAAGTTAACGTAATGAAACAATAATAAATTCGAGCCCACTGAATTCACAGTGTTTCCTTAAGGAATTTAATCCCCTCCTAGTACCCAAGGTAATGGATTATTTCCTCCCAGGATAGAACGAATAACACACTGGTGTAGCGGTACTTCAAACCCCAGTGTTTCAGCGAACACAAAGTTCGGTAGCAAATCACACTTACAGTTGCTTTGTTTGAAGTTAAAAATAATGCAGAACGAAGGAGTAGATACTCAGAAAATCGTATGAAAATGCTGAGAGGAAGGAGTGCAAAGGTATAGCCAATTTGTTGAGCGAATTGTGTGTTATGTGTTGAGTGTCTTTCTTCAACATCTGCTGCACATATATATAGCAGCAAAATGTTGAATAAGACCAAATGTCCACCCTCCATGGTGGAGCAAGCATTACATGTTTGTGGAGCAAGCACTTCA